AAACAAAAACCAGAAATGTGATATAGGAGATTTCATAAAAATAACCGTACTTTTTGATCTTAAAATCTTGGTAACTAAGAATTGACCAAAAGAAAATAACTTTATCTCCCCACTTTTCTAAAAACAAACCCATGAACCCAAAGATGTTCACAGAGTTGTTTCAAGTGGTGAAAATTTAGGATCAGCCTAAATGATTAATCAGAGAATTAATTGAAAATTTCACGTGTCCCTGTTAGAATACAATACAGTATTTCAAACATAATAATAAAGATTGCACTTTACTACTGAGCCACATCCCATTCCTAGTTTGTATTTAATTTAGAGACAGGGTCTCTCACTGAGTTGTTTAGTGCCTTGCTTTTGCTGAGGCTGACTTTGAACTCAAGATCCTCCTGCCTCAGCCTCCCGAGCCTCTGGGATTACAGGCTTGTGCCAATGTGCCTGGTGCTAATAGACTTTTTTGTAAAGAAAGCATGGGCTTTGGAAATGGGAGGCATGTAGATATGAATTCTAGTTTTAGTTCTTATACTTACAAGTGTATAACGTTGACCTGTTAGTACTTGTTTATTTTTATTTTTATTTTTGGTATAAGGGATTGAACTTGGGCACTTGAACACTGAGCCACATCTCCAGCCCTATTTTGTATTTTATTTAGAGACAGRATCGCTCACTGAGTTGCTTAGCACCTCAGTTTTGCTGATAGTGGCTTTGAACTATCCTCCTGCCTCAGCCTCCTGAGCTGCTGGGATTTCAGGCATACCCCACCACATCTAGCTGACCTGTTAGTACTTGAGTCTGAACCTCATCATCTAAAAAAGGGACTTACATCTTTTCTTTATGATTGTTGGATAGATTAGCAATACCAGATGGTAACAGTTAATATGCATATCACACCTGGAATAATTTATCAGTCACTTTCAAGCAGCTGGAAATCTCAGTGGCCAACAACTAAAGTTCATTTCTCACTTATAWATTACTTACAGTTGCATTATGACTTTGCTGTGTTCTTTCCTCTGGGATCAAGGAAGAAGGAGAAGTAAGACAAAACACAGGATGGCTCTTAAAGCTTTGTCTGCTGCAAGTTGTACACTTCCACTCATATTTCATTGAGTGGAAGGAAGATGTTAGTTGAACTGGAGGTATAATCCTCCTGTGGGGGTGGACCAATATAGAAGGACAGCCTATATTTTGAATAAATAATACAGGTTTTAACAAAGTATGTTCAGTTTTAGCTATCACTTTAAAAATCATGTGACAACCAGGGGTATTTCTAGAGAAGATCAGGCTAGAGATCATCTGAAATGTAGTAGGAAGAGGGGATAGAAAGGAAGGGGCACATTAATGCTGTCTTCAGATATTTGAAGAATGGTTATCACTGGATAGTGAGTTTAGGCCAGTTCTGTACCGCATCAATGGGTAAAAGCTACAACACTATATATTTTGATTTAATCAGGGACATAAGTAGAAAAATGAGCAGACAGGAAATTGTTGGTTGTTTTAAATATATTATTATCTTCAAAATAACCCCATAGGGGTGTTAAAATATCAGAGGAAACAGATTCACAGTATGTAARTACTTTAAGGTTACATGGCCAATAAGTGGAAAACCAGGTCTATGTAGTCTTTTCTTTCTAATATATTTTGCTATTCTCTATTTGGCTGTAAGCTTTCTTACTATTAAACGATTCATCACCAGCCATCTTCTTCCTGACAAAGTAATGGCTCCTCCTCCTCTATCATCTCTAATGAAACATAAATAGAAGTGTTGAAGGGAAGGTTGGACTCCAAATCAGTCACCTGCAAACTTACTGATCAAATGTACCCCTCAGCAAAATTCTTGGGCATATGCCATATATGAAAAGACATTAGCCTTATTTTCAGATGACAAAATTGAGGTTCAGAGGAGTTACCATTGCACTAATATCGTGTATGTTAAAAACAGAAAAAATAGAAGTTTAAAAAGGGTAAGTAAGGTTTTGCATAAAATTTTATTTTTTTTATAAATTAGATCTATGTAAAAATCTAACATTTACATATTTATGTTTCAATATTTTACAGATATTTTTCCTGTATTCCTATGAATTGTCTCTTGTACCTTCTGAAAYGCATGCCACAAATATTGTTGGTTGTTTTGGATGATGTTGTGATTTTTTTTTTTTTTTTTTGGTGTGAATTTTTCTGGAAGGGTTAGTGGTAGCTTAACTCACTTTAGAAAAGCATTTAATTTTATTTTTGCAGTGCTGGGAATTGATCCCACTGTCTCATACATGCTATGTAAGCACTGTACCACTGAACTACTAGCTTTTTGCTAGTCCCTGAAAGATTCCTAGATAACTATCTTAAACCAAAACTATAAAGTCCTCACTGTCATTCATAGTAGAATTAAGCCTGAAAACCACAGTGTGAGAAGCAGTTTTCCAAATACATAATTRCAAGCCCATGAGCATTACAATCTCTATATAAAGAGAAATAAGACATTATTAAGTAATAAACCTGATTTCTATGTGCGGTACAAAAACTATTCTCATTATTTTAGCTATAATCTCTTTCTAAATCAGTTTGTAACAAACACTATAGTTATATATTCTAAAATGAATCTGAAATTTTGACTCTATAGAGAATGTAAATTTTTGTACTTGGGAAGTTACTTTAGCACTGTTTTATAATGGAGCCAAAGATTTAAATTAGTCTAAGCTTATTGGACTATATTCTCAGAAAAGCAAAGGAGCTAGTCACATTGCTGTCAGGGAAATGTTTGCTTTTCTACATTGTGGCCCTTAGTTATTGGCCATTGCCAGATTGACACTTCACAATTAAGATAACCTTTTCTGATTAGCAGCTGATCTTTGTGATAGATTCTTTCAGGAAAAAGCCTTCTCACAGCACATAAAGCAGAAACACAAATATGACCTTTAAGAGATACTGGTAATGGGGTGCAGGAAGTACACACCTATAATCGTAACAACAACTAAGCAGGCTGAGGCAGGAGGACCACAAGTTCAAGGACAGCTTCAGTAATTTAATGAGACCCTATCTAAAATAGAAAGATTTAAAAGAGCTGGAGCTGTACCTCAGTGGTAGAGAACCCCTGGGTTCACACCTCAGTATCAAGGGGAAAGCAAACACACACACACACACACATTGAGATGAAATTTTATATCAGGACACCTTTTCATTTGTTTTATAAGTGATATATTTTATACAGGGTTTGTTTGTTTGGTACTAGGGATTGAGCCTAAGGATACTTAACCACTGAGCTACATCASTAGGCCTTTTTATATTTATTTAGAGAGGGTCTTATTAAGTTGCTGAGGCCATCTTTGAACTCGCCATTCTCATGCTTCAGCCTCTAGAGCCACTAGGATTACAAGCATGCGCCACTATGCCCAGTTTGTACAGATTTTTAGATATGACATACTATAATTTGGGTGGCAGTTGTAAAGGAAGTTCTGTTTTGCAAATAGTATCAAACCCAGTTTAAGCAAGAGACTGATGTAGCCAACCTCATTTGCTTTTCTAGCATGTCTTAAGGGACTCACAGGCCAGGAACTCCTTGGCCCTTTATTCTCAGTGGTCCCTTTATTCTAGGAAATTGCCCTGGAAAAGGACTGTTTAAGTAGTTTAATGTGATATTTCTTAGATTTTTGTATTCCTTTACTCAAATAACAGTCCTCCAATGCTTCTTTGTGCCAAGAACTGAGGTTATATTCTATACATTTTTTGTTTGTACATTTACACATATGTATACACGTGTGTATATAAATATATACATACATGTGCACCTGTATAGATGCACACATGTATATACAGGGAAAGCCAGTAGAACTATTGTTGATCACACAGCATGGTTTATTTTATTTTTTGCTTATAAACAGAAATTTGTTTCTCAGGACCTAGAGGCTGGAAGTCCAGGATCAGGATGTCTGGGGAGAGGCCTCTTCTTGGCCTCAAACTGACATTTTCTCCTTATGTTCTCATATCATAGAAAGAGCCAACATAAAGTTCAAGGTCAGCTTGGGGTGATCAAAGCAATACCCTGTTCCCAAATAAAAGATTAGCCCTGCATGGTGGTACATTCCTGTCATCCCAGCAGTTTGGGAGGCTGAGGCAGGATGAGCCAGAATTCAGTCACCCTCAGCAACTTAATGAGAACTGATCTCAAAATAAAAATTAAAAAGAAAAAGGGGGCTGGGGATGTGACTCAAGAGTTTAAGCATCCCTGGGTTCAGTCATCCTCATACCCATAAAGGGATGAATAAATGAGTAAATAAATAAATGAATCTGGATGTAGCTCAGGGATAGATCACCCCTTCCTTCCATCCGCAGTACAAAAAGAGCCAGCATAGCTTAAGAGTCCCTACTCCAGCCTGTGTTCACTTGTTTTTTTCTCTTTCCCTTTGCTATGCCCTTCCATCACTTCCTCTCTCWCTCTTTCCTTCCCTTCTTATAATTCTTTCCTTCTTCGAGATAATAACAAGCAAACATTAAAGTGAAGTCATCAAAGAATAAGAGAAGCTATATATGATATTTATTGTATAAAACTTGTATGATAATAGTTAAATAGGAGACGATGAAACTCTTCATTTGCCTTTAATATTGAATGCCATCTTGTCATGGTAGGTTTCAAGGCAGATATTGTTACGAACTCATAAACCTAAAGTTTCTTCTATTTTAAGTAAAATTAAACATCAATATGTTTTTATACATGTTCTTAATGTGTGCATACATTATGTGATCATTTTTTATTAATTCATCTTTACTTATTTTCTGAATTCTAATCAATGCATTAGTTTTTGACATTAGTCATTTTGTATCTTTGTGTTTATTATATTATAATAGCATACTTCTTATTTTTCAGTGTTTTAATTATCTTGGTATTTAAATTCTAGAATATGTTTCAGTGAATTAAAGACCTGTGTTTTTTGCTATTGTCTTCTGTATTGATACCTAACAATTAAAATTAACCTAACAATTAAAATTATAATTCTTGTCTTCTTTAGCATCAGACAACAGTCAGCGCTTTCGAGAAACCTGTTTTGCATTTGCATTGACACCACAACAAGTGCAACAAATCAGTAGTTCCATGTAAGTTGTCCTCAGATATAATTTGCAGTTTGGCCTTTGACAAAGTGATTTTTTAAAAACAATGTGTTGAGTAAGTTAATGTTAGTTGTCATACAAATAATAGTGTTGAAAATATTATTATAGTCTGTTACTTTAGGAATAGTTACATCTCTGATAATTTGTGAAAAACTTCTCTAGAATGTATCTTTGAATCAGCTTCCATGTACATATTTTGAAAATAACTGTAATTCTTATTCTATTTTAGGGATATTTCTGGGACCAAATGTGACTTCACAGTGCAGGTCCAATTAAGGTACAGTGTTGACTATAGTACACATTCAGAGTTTAAAAGATAATATTTTAAAAATTACCTGGTTTTTTAATAAATGTATTAGAAATATTGGGCATAGGTATTTGGGTAAGGAAAACATTCTCCTGTTAAGAGATGTCCTAATGTTTATCTAATTTTAGATTTAGTTTAGCAAGTAGTGTGTTGCATATTTAACTACATTTCTCCACCTTGGTTGCCCTCAGTTGGTTAAGAAGTTCTAGCTAATGATATTTTAAAATATCATAGTGGTCAGCTCTTAGAAATATTCAGTCTTAAGAGGAAGGATCTTACTGCATAAGAGGCAAAATTGTAGATAAGGAACTAGTACTTAAGTTTGTAGTATCCCATGGACTTACAAACACCAAGTATTCTAATTTGCTTTATACTATATATTTTAAATCAAACATTTAAATCTCTTGAAAGTTTTCAGTGGTGATCAAAAAAATTTCCACCATTGAGTTCACAGTTGCTCCTTATTTAGTTTCTTTTTTAATAGCCCAATCATTTCATTCTAGAATTACCAAGAAACTTTTATAATAATCTCTCTTACTTATATAAACCAATTTTATGCTGCTCTGATTATTCAGTGTACAAACCCAGCTATTCTACATTGTTCTTACTGAAATAGGAGGTAGAAGAGGAAATAGTTTATTTTCCTCAGTAAGTTATTTACCCTATATCATGGGGAAAATAAACAGCTTAGTCTCAATAATCAGATGCTAAATCAAATGTACAAATTATTAAAATTTAGTAGTAAGTTAGGAAAGAGATCTAAATTCCTGCTCTGTATCTCATGGAGCACTGTGAAAACCTCTGATCTGGTTGGTCTTTCTTTCTTCCTTCCCTTCCCTTCCCTTCCCTTCCCTTCCCTTCCCTTCCCTTCCCTTCTCCTTCCCTTCTCCTTCCCTTCTCCTTCCCTTCCCTTCTCCTTCCCTTCCCTTCTCCTTCCCTTCCCTTCTCCTTCCCTCTCCTTCCCTTCTCCCGCTCCCTCTCCCCCTCCCCCCCTCTCCCCCTCTCCCCCCTCCCCCTCCTTTCCCTTTCCTTTCCTTTCCTCCTTCCTTTCTTCCTTTCTTTCTTTCTTTCTTCCTTTCTTTCATAGTAGAATGCATTTTGACATATTATACACAAATGGAGCACAACTTCTCATTCCTCTGGTTGTACATGGTGCAGAGTCACTCCTATAGGGTAATTATACATGTTTATAGGGTAATAATGTCTGTCTTATTCTACCTTCCTTCCCATCCGCATAGCCCYATCCCTTCCCTCACTCCCCTCTACACAAACCAGTGTTCCTTCAGTCTTCTCTATCCCCTCGCCCCACTATGTCTGACCTGATCTAGTCTTTAAAATGGTGAGTGAAAAACAGAGATTTGAGTTGAAGATTCTAAAAGGGATATGACTATGGTTATTAGCTTTAAATTTAAAATTTTTTTTTAATTTTATGTTATAAAACAATTTGACAGCTAGGTGTGGTGGTTACAGGCCTATAATCCCAACTGCTAAGAGGCTGAGGCAGGAGGATCACAAATTCAAGGCCAATCTGAGCAACTTAGCAAGATCCTGTCTCAAAGTTTTTAGGAAGGTCTGGTGGTGTAGTTCCCTGGTGGAGTGCTGCGTGCCTTGATTCAATCTGCAGTATGGGGTAGAGGGTATGTGAAAATAAAAGTAATATACAACAGAACCTTACCCAAGTAAACTAGTGGATAATCTTAGTTTTAGAAGGCACTTTCAAAAATTATTCTATATAAAAGGTATACTGTATCCTCTCTCAAGGAAGACTATGATAAAGACTGAATAAAGTACAAAATTCTCATGTCTTCATAATAAATTAGGAATTGCTACAATCTTCTATATTATCTGTCTCAGCCATTTACTTTACAGTTCGGACATAATGTTATGTGGCATTATCCTTTAAAAAAGTAGTTCTCAAATTGTTGAATGGAGCCACCCTTTGAGTCCCACACTCTGACTGCCATTATCCCTTCCCTTTTACTACCCAAATACATACATACTTGGAACCAAGTAGTGCTACCTTTTCTTTCTTTTATGTTTGCATAATTGAAGTGTGGGTTCCCTTTCTTCTGAAGAAAGCATTCTAAGACCAAAGTAAACCTTGAAAACTATAGTTCTAGGATAAAAGACCTAGTTATTATTTTACATTAATATGCATGCCTTCTTTAAAGCAGCAACATATGGTTCATGTTTTGAAACACTGTCATCTTTCTAAAATAGATCAGCAGTCAAATTCAGAGTCCAAGGGAATCTTTTTTCCCCTATTATTTTATTTCTTTCCACATTTTGGGGTGCATTGTATAGTTGCTGATTTTAATGGGATTTATTGTTACATACTCATAATATAGCAGTATAATTTGGCCAATATCACCCCCCAGCACTTCCTTCTCCTTCCCTGCCACCCACTCCTTGGTTCCTTTTTCCTACTCATCTTTGATTTTCATGAGCACCACCTTCACCTTTCTTTTCCTTTTTCCTCTCTAACTTCCATGTATGAGAGAAAACGCATGACCCTTGACCTTCTGAACTTGACTTAGTTTGCTTAACCGAATTTTCTTAGGTTTCATCCATTTTTCTGCAAATGGCATAATTTCATTTTTCTTTATGGCCGAACAAAACTCCATTGCCTATACACACACACACACACACACACACACACACACACCATCACCACCACCACCACCACCACCACATTTTCTTTATTCATACATTTGTTGATGGTTACCTAGGCTGGTTCTATAGTTTAGCTGTTGTGAATTGTGCTGCTATAAATATGGGTATGCATATATGACTGTAGCATGATGACTTCAATTCTTTTTT